GCTTGATGAAGAAGAAGGCATTAGTGACCTCTTTGATGCTTATGACTTCGAAAAAGTACCTGCCTTGATGGATGGATTTTTATGCAGCTGATTTTTGTTTCTATTTTCTTTTTAAAAGTGAAACCAGAATACCTGCTGACATTCCACACTATCTCTCCTCTTATCTCCTAATCCTTATTCCATTTCAAAGATTAGAAATTATAGTATTTCATATACATATATATGGAAATACTTCATAAAATAGTGCAAACACAGAATGGCAGACTTTCTTATCAGAGTTACCTTAACCTTATACAGGCAGCTACTGATTTAGTAATTATAAAAGAACACACAGAGAATCAGAAGAAATAGCTAAGCCTATTTTATTCTGATTTATTGTGTCTGTAAGTTTCATAAAGGGCTAAATAACTATTTTAGCCAAAAATAGCAATTTTTTTCCTTACGATTTCAAGCTGTGCCTTCTGTAAACCATGTCTGTTCAACGTTTTCATTCAAAGAGTAACTACAGAGAAGTATGTTTGAGATACACAAACAAAAATGTGAAATAGACTTCTTCCAAAGTTATCTAGAAATATTTAAATTCTTACCTGTGCTCCATTTTCGAGCATTCACCTATCACTGAGGACATTAATAATTTTTAATATGAATAGGCTATAAAAATATTGCTATCCAAGATAGAACAGAGGTGGTGACCCCAGTCAATACACTATATCCGGGTAGCCTCTAAGTAACCTTTAAAAAAAATAAAAGTTGTCCGTATCAGTTGTCCGTAGAAAGGGAGAGTAGGTAGTGTGGACTAATTCTAGCTTCTAGCTCTCTCTGTAGAATAGTCCAGTGGATTTTACCTTCTTTCCAAAGAGCTAGATTTATACAGCCCATCTTTGTATTTGACTGGTGAACTGCACATAGTATCAGTTTCTGCATGTAGTTGTTAACCCGCTTCACCTTCAGATGGCTGAAGATGATAATTTTCCCCACTGGGAAGAAATCTGGTACTGAAGAAGTCCCTTGCATAAAGCAAAGATGCACAGTTCAATTTCACTGTCTGCAAAGTGCAATAGAACTGGCATGTAAAGTGTGTGGTACGAAGTGGGGCTCTATGTTAAGTGCCTACTAGAATTGCACTGTGGGCTTTATTTTTTAATTTTTTGCTAAGAAGTACTATTTAAGCCAAGCATCACTTTTTCAGCACACTGTGTTTATTTGAGAAGGTTAGTTGCTTTTACTTCCCATTTTGGAAGTTGCTACGAAGCTGACATTTCACCCAAAGTGTAAATAATATACTTGTCAAGATTGTCTTTGCTGAATTTTAATTGATAACTCTTTGCTGATATAATGCGCTTTCTGAAAAATGAATATAATTCATACATGTAAACATAGTTGTATGAAATGTTGTCACTTTGGTTAATTAGTTGAATAGTTTAAGCAGTATACATTACTTTTTCTACATGATGCTTAAAACATTTCTAAAATGTTTGTTTTAAATAATATATGTGCAGGTTTTCTGGTACCATTGAAATGCTGCTACAGATACTTACAAATGAAATGGCTGAGTAATAGTATGAAAGTTGTATGATTGAGCCTTGGAAAATAATTGTGTAAAAAAATGCAACACCTTGAGAACTGTTAAACAGTATTAAGTGTGTTTTATATGTATACAAACATATTCATAGTTAATTGGTTATTTAAGTTGTATGTTCTTAAACTATAGTCATATAACAGTTTTGTACAATAGGAATGAATTTGTAAAGCCTGCAGAGTATTTTATAGTTAGCTTGTTATTTCTTAAAAAAACCCATAAAACCTTAAATCTGTAAATAAAAATGTAGTATTTAAGTATGCCATATGAAGAAACAGGAGTTTGTGTACACATGAATACTTTTATTATATGAAGAGGATCCGTGGGTAGAATAAAATGAAAGGGAAGAAAATAAAATGACATTTTGTACAATTACATACTTCCCCCAGTGTATCAGCAAAATACTAACCTTAATATAGTTTGATTAGTATAGTTCTAAATGTGTAAAATAATGTAAAAAAAAAACAAAAATAATTTTTCATTTGTAAAGGCTGTTCTATAGCTAGGACCTTGCCTAATTAAATGTAACTAACTTTTTAAATGGTAATCAATAAAGCTTTATATCAGTACATACTGTATTAGTTTTCTCCTGAGTAATTTTTTTATCTGCTTCAAGTTATTTCAAATGCATTTTAGCCCAAAGTGATGAGCAACATATCCTAGTCTCATAGAAATTGACGGCACTACCATTGTGGCTAAGCCAGAGGAACTACATTCCAGCTGGCATTAGCAACAGTCAGACTTGTGCTCTTCTGTAACTTTTGCCATTCACTAAAATAAATAATAAATTCTGTAACTTGGATTACTGCCTACATTCATACATCAGAAAAAGATCAGCAATATCATGTAGCTCAGGGATCCCCAACCTGTGGGTCGCGGCTGGTGTTGCACAGCTATTGGGCATGCCCCTATGGTGATGGGGTTGCTGGTTTAAGTGCCTGAACTGGTAGTGACAATGTCACCATGGACCAACACAATATAATAGTAGTAATGATGTCTATATAAAACAAACAAGACAAAAAATAATAGAATACATGTGACATTGCCATAGCAATGTCTTCAACTTTGTCCCTATTTTTAGGGCTTTATATGTCAGCAATGAAAAACCCACCCTACTTTTTTAGGGGGGTTGAAACATGCTCTTTCTAATCAGAATGATTTAATAGTTTCCTGAAGGTCTTTTTTTTTTTAAAGTGGGCTGAAAATACCCTATTTTTGGTGTTTTTACAAAAAACGTCAACTTTACATTCAATTTTTAAACTATTGGAAAGCAGTAGGAGAATGAAATTTTATATTTGAAAACCTTGTGTTACTAAGTTATTATGCACAAAGTTTCACATTTATCATACCTTTCCTTCAAGAGATAGAAAAAGCCAAACTTTAAACTTTTTTTTGAGCCGCAATATTTTCAGCTAACTTTGCTCCAAATTATCTAGATCAGCGGTTCTCAATGTTTGTGTGACGGCGACCCCCGTCACACAAACGTTATGCGCATGCACGGCGGCGCCCCCGGAGGGGAGAAAATGGCGGATCACCGCCTTTGGCGACCCCCGAAAAATGGTCGATCGACCCCAAATGGGGTCGCGACCCATAGGTTGAGAACCGCTGATCTAGATGGAAATCGCTCATGAGAATGTTTTTATTATTTTGTTTAATAGAGCACAAAAAATTGTACAAGATGGCCAAGTTTTGTTTCTCTCAACAAAATATTGCCAGAGATATGTCTTAAAGTTGCTGGAACCTCAGAGTCATACTGTAGAAGACTGCAGCATGGGGTCAAACAAGTGACTCTATCTCCACAAGCATTGCATCAGCAAACGTAACACTTTACCAATGTTCATTGGGGACATGTGTGCATGTTCACACAAAATTTCATCAAAATCCGTGATGGTCCAGCAGACCACTTTTCTGAAATCAGACCACTTGACATGGAATGACCCTGTGGTAAGAAAGGTAATAAAATGGGGAAAACTCACTTAACTGTCTTGTTTAACAATATAAATTTTGGGCTGAATTGTTATTGCAAGTCAAGGACTACCTGTATTCTGTCCATCTCTTCAACTGAGTCATGAATGAAAATCTTGGACAGCATGAGCTCTTAAACCCAATCCTATGGCATTCTACTCCTGTGTCTTAGACACATTTTTGCAAGATATAAAATAAGATGAAGTGTGCTTTGGTGGGCTTCTAAACCCTGATTTTTGCTCAAGCTTGAGGCCAAAGGGACTATGCTAAATCCCAATTTCTAGCTGATTTGACAACTGCCACAAGGTATCCAAATTTAGTAGAAAAAAGCATGAACATTCTGCAAGGAAGAAACTATTGTAGAACCAAATATCAAGTTGCTTAGCATGTACAAAATAAAAATGCTGGTCATGTTTATCCAAAAATCAGTGAATGGCTAAACTGATTTACTGATTAAAACCAGCCTAGCCATTTGATCAGTGCAAATTCATGAACACCTACTCAAAAAGTCAGTCTTTTAAGCGAATAAATAATAACTATCTTTGCAAGTTATGAAAACTTCGATACGCATGCGTCCTTTCCTTAAAACAGCTACTGCATGACCCTTTAACCCAGAAAGCCAGAAAAGGAAGAAATCATTGTGGTTGTGCTGTGCAGCTCTACAGGGTTAATCTTTAAGTAAAGTGCTTTGGAGGAAGAGCATGATGTATTATCTTAAAGCAGCCACGGGGTGGGGAAGGCAACTGCTTTAAAAGTGTTGGCAAACGCTACACGTGCTAAGTTCCCACGCCCAAAGCATCTTTTGGAGAGGAATCCGAAAATCACTATAGCGCTAGAAATCATAAATCCTCTTAATACGCAGCTAACCTAACAATTCATTCTTCGTGTCTATGGAGATTCTTAACCATCCATGTCATGGTTGTTTCAAAATGTTTTCAAAAGGCAAATGGACTGGGGAGGGAGGGGGGATTCCCCCTTGAAAACTTTTCGCTTCTCGTCCAAGCTTATTCAGTAACTAAAGAATCTTCTTGGAGCAAGAAGCGAAACGTTTGCAAGGAAAAGAGAAACAGTCCAGGTGCCTTTTGAAAAAGCACCTTTGGGACTTTCGTTCGTCGTGTCGTTCCCTCCAGAGCTTATAAACGACGGCCGAAATCCTCTTTATTGTTCTATTATTATCTTTCATTCAACATACGCAGACACTGTAGATAAATCCAGTTATCTCGGAAATAAATACGGTCTAAAAATCAAGTCTCCCTCGGGTTGAGGCTTTGGGGGTTTTTTTGTTTTTTGTTTTCTCCTGAAGATGCCTTTTCCATAATTTCCATTTAATCTACAATCCTGGGGCGCCGCACGGATGTCCGAGGAAAGGGTTAACCAGTCCTCACTTCGCCGAGTTCGAATGCGGACTTTCGCGAAGCGAAAACGAGCCGAGTTTGTTCCCTCCGGCATACCGTCGCAGCGTCTTTCTGTGACGTATGAAAAGGCGTGGCCACAATATGGCGCAGTGCATGTGTAGCTGCTTGGAGCTGACCTAGGGGCTTCAAGGTAAATTGTTTGCTCTATTATGGTTGTCGCCGCTGTTAGCGCACCGCCGGTTGGGAAAGAGAGCTAGATTTCGTCTCCCGTGGGCTGAAGAACAGCTTAGCCCAATATTCTGTTTCGGTCAGGTCCACCGGTGGATGAGATGCGCTGGTTTCTGGTCGTTTTAGGGGGATATCCCTTTCTGGGGTCTCACCCAATCGGTTGGGAAGTGAGTGATTCCGTGTCTCTGAAGTAGATGGAGGAAAATCTATCTTATGTGGTTGCTAGATGTCCCAAACGACTTGATGACACGTAATCAGATATATTAGAAAATCGAAATAGATAAATCTATGTTGGAGCGAAGGCAATTAAAATGAATGGCTTGTTTCTCGTTAGATTTCTTCTACAATATCTTCGATCTGCGACATGTGGGTCTCAACACTTTAAATCGGTGTTTTTTAGCCTTAGCAACTGTAAGTTGTGTGGATTTCAAACTCTCAGGATTCCCTAGTTCAGTGGTGGGGAACTTATGGCACGTGTGCCAGAGGCGGCACTCAGAGCCCTCTCTGTGGGCACACGCACCATGCCCCGGAGATGGCAACCGTCCCTCTTCAACTAGCCGCCTGCTAACTCGCTAAGGTCCCACATGGCCGGATGCATCCCAGCACCCATGCGCTCGCTGGCCTCTGTATAGGGGCTGATGGTGTCAGGCAGCAGCCGCCCCGGCCCATCTCATCTTGCCCTGTGACAATGGCACCCCCACCTTGCTTCGCCTCACCCCACAGGACGAGCCTCCTGCCCACCGCTCCACCTGCCAGAGACCCCCTGGACCTCCCCCAACCCTGCCCGGCCCCCACAGGTGTCCCTCCCCATGAGCAACATCGAGGTGATTATGCCTACCTTGGCTACACCACCCAATCTGCCATGATCACCACAGCCATGCCCACCCAGTGGGCCATGCTCACGCACCCAGCGATAAATAAGTGGGTTTTGGGTTGCAGTTTGGGCATTTGGTCTCTAAAAGGTTCGCCATCACTGCCCTAGTTAGCATGCAACCACTGTGTTGCAACCATAAGACGGAAAGTAAGGAGTTTAGAGAAGCTGCAGCATAGGGTACTACCTTTAATCTCCTTTTTTCCTTTTCATCATCCAGTGGGCACAAAGAGATGGAAAGAGAATAAAATTTTTCTCAATTTCCCCCCCCCCCACTTTCATTCTCATTAATTCTAATTCTAGTCAAGTCACTGTAGTTTGTACTGAAATGATGAACAAAAACCCAGAAACTGTCAACTAAACCAGTCAAACTGTTTATCAAAAAATGTAATTAGCTCCATTTGTCATGTCAACTGATGTCATGCTCATGATATAAACAGTTGGTTGTGACATATTTGTGCAAAATACACTAACCATCGCATATTGGTGTACACTCCTTCCCTACCATATATTTTTGACAGGTATGTGATTGGCTTCTGTACTATGTATGCTTGGGATGCAGGAGTTAGAGTAAAGGGGATTTTGCCCAAGTTGCAAGCTGTGAGTTATAATATTTTTTTAGTTGGTGTAGTTGTATGCTGAATGTGAAGGAACTAAAGTCTAATATGGCGTTAAGATTTGTTCCATCCCTTTTAACAGTCTAAAGGCTACTGATAATTACTATAGAAGTTTTAAGTATTAAGTTTGTTGACTATTTTGTAAACCTCCAGAAGTGTATTGATTCAGTGATTTATAAATAAAGTGAATGAATAAATTATTATAGGAAAGTGAATCACAGATCCATTTAAAAGTTATATATTAAGCCAACTGAAGGTCACAAAATATAATTTAAATCTTTCAGTTCCCTTATCCCAAAGAAACAGATAAATAAAGTAATAATGTGAAAAGGGGAGGTAGTCAGTGATATGATTTGTTTTAAAATAGAAGTAACTGAAAATACTTAAATTAATGCTGGCTGGGTGACTTGGGCCAGTCATTTGTTCTCAGGAAGAAATCTGATAAACCTTGCCAAGAAAACTGCAGGGATGTGTCCAAGCAATTTCTGAGAATCAGACATGAATGAGTGGAAAAAAAATATATTTATATGAAGAAGCAAGCAATGAATATATGTTTCTAAGAGCGCACATTTAAAGTACATTGATACTGTATTTAAAGATATAGAAAATACAAAGTTAAAAAAGATACCAATTATTCATATCTACTTGCACTGTAATTATTATTTTGTAATTTTAAAACATTTATTAAACCAATTGATTTTTAAAAAAAGTTTATTTCCAAAAAAAAATAATCCACTGCATATAATAAAAACATTGACCATAACATAATACCTGACATGTTCTAAATGTTTACACTGAGGGGAAAGAATCATAAAAGAGGGAAATTATCATCTCATAAAATACAATGTTTAAACACGGATGGCTAAACATTAAGCTTCCAGAATAAAATGTATTTTCCTCTAAAAAATCAAGGAACACTGATTGAAGCCAGACACAGAATAATGTTTCAGGGAGTTGCACTTAAAATATGGCTAGAGATACTTATCTTAAAGTGTTTTTAAAAGCATATTTTGTGTTCACATAATTTTTATTCAAAATCTACTTTTTGTTAGCTTAATTCTTATAACCCAATTCAAAGGAAAAAGTACCAGTTGGTTCGGATTTATCTGAGGTTTTGAATTTTCAGAAAAGCAAAAGGTTCTCGGGACACACTAATATGCTTTGGCTAAAGTATTTAAAAATACTTTTAAAAGTAAAATATTCACATAATATTTTAGAGAGCATGACAGCTATGGCAGTATCAAGTATTGGAGATTTTGGGATGGAGTGATTTTCTGTAAAATTGATACAGGCGCATTAAGAATATTTTGAATGGGTTTCCCCCCCCCCAAATTAATCAGATTGAAAAAAAAATCACACTTCCAAACTCTGAGGCATAACCCAATTTGTGGGCTTTGCAGATGTCTCTAGTGGATCACCATTTGTAATGGGCAGAAAGAATGACTTTAAGGGACAGGAGAAAGAACCGCTTATCAAGACAGTGGTCAGATACAAGAAACCCGAGTTTGGGAAAGAACTGTAACCTGAGAAAGCATCTCAGACAAAACCCTCTCTAGTTCTCATGAAGATAATGGGAGGGAGAAGGGAAATGCATTCAGACTTGCAAGTTTCTTTTACTGAAATCTTAAAATAGAAGTACAAGTAGCCCTCAACTTACAAGCATTCATTTAGTGACCGTTCAGAGTTACAACAGGACTGAAAAATGTGACGTATGACCTTTTTTTTTTACACTTATCACTATTGCAGTATCCCCATGATCACGTGATCAAAATTTGTATACTTGGCAATTGGTTCATATTTATGATGGTTGCAGTGTCCCTGGGTCATGTGATCCCCTTTTCTGACCTGATAAGCAAGAGTCAAAGGGGAAGTAATTGTGTGGCTAATTTAACAACTGCTGTGATTCACATAACAACTGTGACAGGAAAGGTTGTAAAGAGGGGCAAAACTCACTTAACTGTCTTGCTTAGCAACAGAAATTTTTGGCTCAGCTGTGATTGTAAGTTGAGGACTATCTGTAGTGTTGTCCTGTATGACTTTCATTTTGTAGTCTGGTCTATCCTGAAGGGCTGATATCAGGGAAGAGAGTATCCTAACTAGGCCTGACCCAGCAGGGCTGCTATCATGTTGTCATCTGACTAAGAAAGCACTGCCTGAGGAAATGTGGCTTGTCCACTTTTGTTTGTTTGTTTGTGTGTGTGTGTGTGTGTGTTAAGTCAAAAGCACTTGCTGAATATTTGTAGAACTATTGCTATATAGTAGAAGCCAACAGTGGTCTGAAATTTATCGGTCCTAGTTAATCTGGAAAATAACATGTTATAAACTTTTATATTCTTAAAATATGGTGCCGGGTTTCAGTAGGGGGGGGGATTTTTCAATTATTTTGAGATTAGACTGGCTTTCCCTGAATGACCTTGTTAACTGAAACTATGGTTACATTTATTCTTATTTTAAAGCTCAACTTCTAACATGAATGAACAGGTGGTTTACAGGAGGGAGGGGCCATGGCAGGTCATTAGGTACTATATGCAATTTGCATTATGGTTCAGTTGATCCAAATTGCATAATTTGTATCATTTAGGCAATGATATCGTGAGGTATGTGACATTATTGTGGCTTTTGCGGAAGACCTACAAATGGTTGCTGCTCTTTGCTCTTTAATATGATCTGTTAGCCTTGCAGAATTTGTGTGTGTGTGTGTGTTGGGGGGGGGGAAGATGTGAAATGGTTGCACACTACTGTTACAGGCATAAGAATCCTTGTTTTATGCTTTTTCTCTTCTGCCATATATTTCTATCTTCCAGAGAAAATGATTGCTGCTGGTGATCTTTGCCTTGAAGACATTGAAGATATTGTGTCAGCAGAAGATCCAAAGCCGTTTGATCGTCAGTTCAATAGAAAAAACATCATTCCTAAAGTGCGAAAACGCCAGTCACAAAAGAACGTGGAAGTGGATGATCCTCCCCCTAGAGATAGGTACATATGTCAATGAAATGTAAAAAGCTGCGTTAAATTGAGGCACTGGGCTCTTGAAAGCTTTAATAATTTTTATACTTAAAACAAATTGAAAACATTTGTCATAATTTACTTTTCTTGTAATTTGAAGTAAGATTTTGCCCTACAGAGTACAGTACCTTCAATTTTATTAGATTGATCTGTGGTTAGCATAGATAATTTTGCTTTTTACTTCCATCAACTTTCAGGTGACGGAAGATATATGGGAATAAAGAATCTGAAAGACTGAAGCTAGATAGAACCACACGATGATAGAGATTATTCTGTTGAGCAGGAGACTAAAAGCAGAACCAAATGGTTGGAGACTTAACAGTTCTCTTCGTCTACAATTGCTATACTGCTTCTTTGTGCGAGTAGGGGGTCTGTTCCTGGGAAGGATGAGTGAAAAATCTCAGGAGTTTATGCTAGGAGTGTATACTCCAAGCAGGGTCACCCAAGGTGTGAAGATCAGCTAGCTTTCTAACTAAAGCAAGCAGGTACCTATATCAAGCAAAATGATACAGAAAGGTGCTGGGGGCAGTTTAGTGACAATGAGAGAGGCATCACTTTATACTGCAATGGTAAACCGTTCCTATATTTTACCAAGGAAACCAAATGGCCAGATAAGATAAGTTATTGGCAATATCATGTCAAATGATGGGACCTTGAGGTGAGAGGCCACATGCTACTGAGGAAGAGCCGAGGACATTTCAGACTACTAATAGTGTTTATGAAGGGCAGATTAAATACTTCAGGACATCTAGTTTCTGATGGTGCCATTCATAAAAAGAAAGTAGAAAGCTGCAAAGACATGACAGTACATGCCAACTGAGATTTAACAAAGTGCACAAATATTGCACATCATCTTTAATTTCATATGCTATCACCCAGAGAACATTAGAATGCTGCATGGAAAAGGAAATGCGTATGGACAATTCCCCAAATCCCTGATTTCAGCCCTCCTCCTATATTTTTTGTTTTCTTTCATAGTGTTATCTTTTTGTCAAAATCAAGAGCAAATGTCTTATTCATTAAGATCTGTTATTAATATTTTTAATTTGTGTATATTATCTTAAGTATTGCAATACTTTCAGGGAATATTTTAAGGTTTGTGAATTCCTCGGTATCTGTAATCACTGCTGGACAAATTTTTCTAGCGTGGGGAAATTTATTATGTCTGTGTCTTTTAATTGAACAGTGTGATTCCCGGTATACAGAAAATTTGGATACGTACATGGGGATGTTCCCATAACAGTTCAGATGGTGAATACATGGCTGGACAGCTAGCTGCTTATGGATACAGTATAACAGGTAATGAGTTGAACATGTTGGATTTCTTTCAAAGGATTTATAGTTAAACCGTGATTTAAATATGCTGTTTTCTTTGCATTTATTCATTATTTATATTCTTCTTTTCAGGATACAGATTCTTCTGTGCTTATTTAAAGATTAAATCAATAAAATGAAACAGTGCCTTGAGTAATTGAGATCTTTTTCATTGGTCAGCTAATAGATGTGTTTAGTACTTCACATGGGGCAGGTGAAATTGCCTTTGTACATCTCATTTCCAGTGGCTTATCTATATCACTCTGTTGCAGACCAAGTAGACTTGCTTGATTTACAGGTGTATTAGTAAAGTCTTATTGGAGAATACAGGACTAGGCTCCTAAGGAAAATCTTAATATTATAGATTGGAAGGTTTGGAAAAAAATGGAGGTTATCTGTTCAGCAATCAAACATGTAATGAATAATTTCCTGTTTAAATCTATTTCCAAAACGTTTGAAATATTTTATTGCTGTTCACATTTTTATATTTAATACTTTTGGCTTTAAATCATGAGGGAGCTTCTAATGGTTAAAAACATGAATTTTATACCAACCTTGGCCTCCTAAAAGTCAAAGGCATTACAGTAAATAAGTAAAATGTCTTGCTAACAGACAGCTGTTCATCAAGATTGCTTTGCAGACAGCTACATTCAGAACACAAAAGTTGGATGTCAGGAAAATATTAGGGTAGAGTTAAAAGCATGCTTGCTTTCTCAGAAGGAGACTGTAATGCATAAGTAATGCCTCTCATAATTTTTTGCCATATTTCATTGAATTTCTAGCATTGCCAACATTTGTCATAACACTTTACATGCTGCATTTAGTTGTTATTTGCTTTATGTTCCTTAACTTCCAACTGTTATCAAAAATATTTTTTATTTATTCTATTTGGTACTTTACAGATTTTAATTTGCGTTTTTGACAACATAATTGTTTAATTTATAGCTTGTATTTAAAAATGGCTGCTCACTAATAGGATAAAACAATGACGGTGAATGATGTTTGTATAATTGATGTATGTTTAACATACACTAGGTGGCAGTATTAAATAACATTCTGAGTTGACTATGTTATTAAATTTTGAAATTAATCTGTCATGCTTTCTAATTACTTTTATGCCATAATTATGATTTTGATCTATTTCTTCAGTTGAAATTGTAATGCATAACACTATTGATATAATGGTATTAATTATTTTGGTCTTTGTTTAATTTTCTGGCTATAACAATGGAATTAATAAATTTCTCTCTGTTTAGTAATTGCTACATTATCAAAATCATATCACTAACTTTTGGAATATTTATGAATTTAATGTTAAATTTTCTAATAACAAATTCTTGATGTTTATATTTTAAAGTCCAGATACATATTTCTAAGTATGAATTTTCATTCTTAAATTTTTGCCTGCACATTATTTACTTTAAAATATTGGTTTTAGGTATCTCATGTAATTCAGTGCTTGTACTATACTGTTTGGAACAGTTTAAAGATCTAACATTTTGGTACTAATTGCTTTATAAGTTTCAGAGCAGGACAACATAAATGATATTCACCCAAAAGTATTGCAAAGTTCTCTATCTATTTACAGTAGTGGCCAAAATTGTGGAAACCTTTTGAGAAAAGTGTATTTCTGAGGTTTGGTGGCTAATAACACCACTTTTTTTGGAGTAGTACCATAAAATTATATATCAATGGGAAGATAATTTAATCAATAGTGTAATGCAACAAAGTTTGTTCAATTATCTGTACTGTATTCTATGAAAAGTTATAGCCAAATAACCAGAAAAAGGAAGCACAATTTGCTTAGGTTGATATCAGGTAGCTTTCCTTCATCTGATTGTAGCCAATGAGCATGAGTGTTTAGAAAGCCAATCAGGTGTCATCTTGTTTTGGCAATGAGCCAATCAGATCACAGTAGGATTCAGTTATTGATGTCATGTATTGAAGCTGAGAGGAGGACATTTGTCAGTGTGTTGTGTGATTGCTATCAAGTTGGTTGGGTTTTTTTGTGTTCTTTCATTTAGTGAGCTTGTAAAACAAAATTAAAGTAATGGTGCAAAGAGTTGACTGGTTGCCCAGAAAGCGATGTAAAATAGTATTATTACGTGAACAAGGCTACAGTTATAAAGAAATTAGAACAAAAATTGGTGGAAACTTAAACAAAGGTTAAACTTAACCAATGACTTTCTTATGGTATATGATTTAAAACTGGCAGTGATTGTTTGGATTAGATAGAAATACTGGTATAATGGTGGGTATTGATTCAGAATGTATCTTTCTGTGTTGTGATGCTGAAGAGTGAAAACTCTCCCTGTGGGAGTTGTCTGAAAAGGAATTGGAATTAAAAATATTAGTATGAAAAGACTTGCACAAATCTACAGTGCAGTTTTGGTTGCCCTCAAAAATAAGAATTGCACAAAACTTACAGTCAAAAGGATTTTAAGAAGAATCTTCTGTAGAAGTAAAAGCAAAAAACTAAAAAAATTGGTTTGTTCAGGTAGTCCAGGGGTAGGCAACCTTGGCTCTTTTATGATTCGTGGACTTCAACTCCCAGAATTCTGGCTCAGGAATTCTGGGAGTTGAAGTCCACGAGTCATAAAAGAGCCAAGGTTGCCTACCCCTGAAATAGTCCAGGACTTCAAACCATTCCTTTAGTGACATTTAAAGTTACAAACGGCACTGAAAAGAGTGACTTCTGACTGTTTTTCACACTTATGACCGTTGCAACAACCCCCCAGTTCCATGATCAAAATTCAGACACTTGGCAACTGGCATGTATTTATGAAGGTTGCAATGTCCTGGAGTCACGTGATCCCCTTTTGCGACGTTCTGACAAACAAAACCAAAGGGAAGCCAGAGTCACTTAACAGCAGTGTTACTAACTGAACAACTACAGCAAGAAAGGTCATAAAGTGGGGCAAAACTCACTTAACAACTGTCTTGCTTAGCAATGGACATTTTGAGCTCAATTGTGGTCGTAACTCAAGGACTACCTATATAGCACAGTAAAAAGGTAACTTTATAAAATAGTTCATAAAAGCAACTGATGATTTTTCTTCTTCAGTTGAAAAATCTGGTTGAATCAACAGATTTTTAAAAATCACCCATGTGGAATAATGAGTTTATTTATGTACTTATGCATTTGTCCCTTGCCCTCCCAGCAATCTAATATACTGGGGAGGGGGGGCTAACAAATCTAACAGAAACCAAATGCAAAACTATAAAGTGCGTAATAGTAAACTAAACAAAGAGGTGTCAATGACCCAAATACCTTCTCTAGGAATTTATATCTAGGATAGGAGTGCATCTAGCCTCAAGTAGGATACCGTTCCAAAGGGCCTGCACTGCCACAGGAAAACACCCTCCCCCACATACACACATACTTCCAAGCATTTTCTTTCTTGACCTCCTGAATGTGAACAATAGTTAATTGCCATCAAACCCTGTGATAGTTAAGAGATCATACATTTTTTTTAAAGGATGAGATAATTGAACTCATCCATAATGCTTAAATCCTATCTTCAGGTTCATTGGTAATATTCTTCTAAATGTTAATTGCTGGGAAGGAACAAACAATACATAGATGCTTGTATATACTCATACCCTGCTGCTAATGGGATGGAGTGCTGACATTTTAACATAGGGTATGTCTTGCAATCTGCCTCCCCCAAGATGTTGGTGGACTGCAATTCATAGTATTAATGCTAACTGGGCTCTGGGATTTGTAGATTACCAACATTTAGCGTACTGTAATTTGTGAACTCCCATCATTGTGATTTGATCAACAACCACTGGTATGGTTCACACAGCATGCCAATTTAAAATTTGGCTTATTTGGTTTTGGTTGAGCATGTTATATAAATCCAGTCATTATGGTTTGGAGCCCATAATCTGTGGCTTAGCGTGATAAGTGAATCCAGCCAATTGTGGTTTAAACGACAAACTGTTAATGTAACTTGCAAATCTAATTGTTGTGTTGCTAGATGTAGATTTCAGATCAACAAGCATAGCTTGTATAGTGTTTCAGAATCTTTTAGATGTCATCAGCTTAAACTTTGTATTGGTATCTAATTAGGAAAGTGAAGCATATCAAAACAAAGTTATTTTTCTATGCCTTCCTTTTTGTTTTTCAAATTTCTCCTTCTAGGAGCCTGCCAGAATTGATGTGGTAGATGCCATGTTTCTGTCAGAGAGTATATTCTTTATTTTATTAAGTTCTTAACTTGTTCACCTAAGATGCATCTGGAGTCTTTCCCCCCTTCCTTAACATACAGATGGAAAGTCAACTAAGTGCTATTTTAGAAGGGGTGACTTGGATGTCTTCTCAAAGACTAAAATGGTTGAGCCGCCAACCTGAGAGGAATGTAGTTTGAGATCTGCAGTCAATGGCAGGCTTGTGAATATTTTTTGGCATTTCTGGCCCACCACAATGAAACATTATTGTGTATAAAAGCAAAGGGAGAGACTCCCACTGAGTAGAAGACACTGACATTTGTCTTACACGTCAAAATCCTTGGCGCTGGGATCTACTTGCAATGCAGAGCAACTTTGTCTTGGATGACTATAAATAGCTTTTTGACTTCATCCAGCCAAAAGTGAATAGCTGTTGATTAGTAAAAGGTATTGCAATATAGAGGAGTAGGCTTTTTGGCTCAGTTTTAAATATAAGACAGATTTCTTGGCTGCTTATATATTTGTAAGACTTTTCAGACCTTGAGATTTCATTGGCTCTATTTCAGAACGGAAAACATGCTTGCTCATTGGTTCTGTTTGCAAAACTAGGAAACTAAATTGTACTTCAGTCTACAAAAAGTAGCCCCTTATTGATGGGGTGGTATTGTTTTGTCCTTGACAAAGCATGTAGGATCTAATCTAACATGCAAAAAAGAAAAGAAATGGAATATGCACTATATAGATGTGTAAAGGTAAATTTGACACATTCACTCCAGTGAAAGTATCCTTTTTTCAAGTTTCAGTTACACACT